AATATCCTGAGCCCCAGATGAGGATAAATTCTCTTTGATATTCAGCGCCGTTTTTTCCCCTCTGGCTGGTGGTGCATGTGCCTCGCTCCCGTGAATTCTTCATAGTTCAGTTACCCCGAACATGAAACACCCTCAGGGGTAAAATTAAATTACCAGACCAGGACCTGTAACCCAGCTATCCAACTAGAACCATGGATTTTGTAAGGTTAGGATGTGTTAGTGGTATAGGTTAGGTTAATATTATGCTAAGGGTAGGTTAGGTTATGGTAAGATGAGGTTAGGTTATGTTATGGTAGGTTAGGTTAGGTTATGGTTAGAGGTAGGTTATGCCGTAGTAGGGGGTAGGTTATATTATGGTAAGGCAATGTTATAGTAGAACTAGGTTATGTTTTGGAAGAACCAGGTAACGATTTGGTTAGGGATAGGTTAACTTTTGTTTGGGTATGTGGGACTCCCAACATAGTGTGGCTTCTTGTGAGCAGGACCAGCCCCCTAGCAACACACAAGTGAAGGAGGACCACTTGTTGACACACACACACACACACACACACACACACACACACACACACACCACGCCCTCCCGACGACGTTTCCACCATTGAGACACTACTGGCGAACATCTCCTGCGCGAACGATCAATAGTGCCTGGCGTTTCTGTCCCCCCACCTCGTAATATGACTTGCTCGTAAGTTACTTCTGACGAACCTTCGCCAGTCTTCCCTCAACCCGGCTATGAGATGTTAACTACTGTCTCTTCCCACTACCACAACCCCCTTCTCCCCTCCCCTCCCCACTACCACAACACTCCCCTCCCCTCCCCACTACCACAACACCCTTCTCCCCTCTCACGTTCTCTTGCATCTCACCTTGGCAATTTCCGGTAATAAGGACGAGAAGAAAAAATACTAAAGAGTGGAGATAGAGAAGATGTCAATAAAGAGAGGGAAAGAGGGAAAGAAGGAAGATAATGAAGAGAAAAAAAAGACGATCAGGAAAGAAGAGGGACAAGAGGATAAAAGGTTAGTAAAGTGAAGAAGGAGATAAGATGGTAGGAGGTGGGGGAGGGGGCAAGAGGTGGAGATAAAGCCCCAGGGGAGTTAGTGAGGTAAGAGACTAAGGAGGAGGAGGAGGAGGAGATGAAAAGCCCCGGGGTCAAAAAAGGTCAAAACTATACTATTTAAGCCTAGATCACCTGAAGACCACCTGCCTAACTAACCTAACCACCTACCTACCTAACTAACTATTTAACAAACTAACTCACTTACTAAACCTAACCAACCAACGTAACTAACAGCTAACTAACGAACTAGTCAACCAATTATCTAACTACCTACCTAACTAACTATTAAACAAACTAACTCACTAACTAAACCTAACCAACCAACGTAACTAACAGCTAACTAACGAACTAGCCAACCAACCAATTAACTAACTACCTACCTAACACACGTAATCCACTACACCTTTATTATTATGGGTGAAATATCTATATTATCATTAAATATATCTACTTTGTTATAATCAGTGTATTTATTCTCTTGTTAAACTGAGTAAAAAGGACAGTTTGCCCTCAGGTCAATCAAGGTGTCTGAGAGTTGTCGACCACGGCCCACCAACTATAAACTCCGGATTGTCTTTCTTTACCAATCCTGTCTTCCCCTTCCCCCACCCTGTCTTCCCCTTCCCCCACCCTGTCTTCCCCTTCCCCCCACCCTGTCTTCCCCCCCCACCCTGTCTTCCCCTTCCCCCCCTGTCTTCCCCTTCCCCCCCCTGTCTCTCCCCCCCTCCGTCTTCACCTTCCCCCACCCTCTCTCCCACCCTCCGTCTTCCCTTCCCCCACCCTATCTTCCCCTTCCCCACCCTGTCTTCCCCTTCCTCCACCCTATCTTCCCCTTCCCCACCCTATCTTCCCCTTCCCCCCCTGTCTCCCCCCCCCCCTCAAACCCTCACTTCCACCAATCACCATCGCTCTCTTTGGACACTCTTTAAAAGGACAAAATGACCGTCTGTCTGACTGTCAGGGCAGAGGAACATAGCCTCCAGAAAATGACTGACTCAGCAAGTATCTTTAGCAATCTCGTGAAGGAGTTGGACACGTGCGAAATTCAGGAGATTTTGTCGCTGAAACTTCATAGGGAAATAATTTTTTTTTAATATATTCTTAAAAGGACGAGTTTTATTTTCAATCCATCAATTATTTCATTATCTATCTATCTATCTATCTATCTATCTATCTATCTATATATCTATCTATCTATGTATCCATCTATCCATCCATCCAACCATCTAATGGAAAAGCAGGCTATTTTTAAGCTACTATTTCCCTCTCTTGTCTTTATGGAGGTAGCATGATATTTCTTATGTTCCTAATCTATCTCTATCTCTCTATTATCTCCTTATGAAGTAAATAACACTTTTTTTTTTACCTCACTACGTATTTAACTCTCCCCCTCCCCCTTGTAATCAGGAAAGTATACAGGGCTTACCTTCCCCTCTCCCTTTCCCTCAAAAAAAATTATCGGCAAAAGCCATGACGCCACGAATCAAACAGACGAGACGAAGCAAAGATGATAAAAAAAGGAAGAATTGTAAACAAGGAGGATTAACAGGCAAAGTTTTGGAGAGAGAGAGAGAGAGAGAGAGAGAGAGAGAGTGTGTGTGTGTGTGTGCGTGTGTGTGTGTGTGTGTGTGTGTGTGTGTGTAGAACATTTTTGTAGCAGAACGGATCACCTTACAAACCACATACAAGAGCCCAGACATCCGATATATGTGTTGAACCAGGCGGCCGAGTAGAGAACCTAACCTAACCTAACCTAACCCACGCATCTTTTTCATCTTCCGCAGCTACGAGTAACAAAAATATAATTCTACTGTATAATTTCTTCTTCTTTTAGTCTTACCTTCTTTCTATTATCATTGTCATTAACGGTATTATTCTATTATCTTTGTAGTTATTACGTTATATTGTCATGGTTGTTGTAATAGAAGTCATTTATATTGTGTATGTATTTATATTTCACCCACGATGGGATTTTTTTCTTATTCACATTAATAATAAAGTCTTTAAAATTATTAAAAAATAATACCCTGAAAACTTGCTTAAGACTCGACATTTTAGTCACCAATGGAAAGTTTTGGCGGAAAATTGTTGGCGGGAAGTTTTGAAGGGCGGGGAGAAAAATAATGCTATTAATTAGGCCTTATAAGTTGTGGACCGCGTTCATCCCTCCCCCAGCGCTAATTACCCCCATAAACTTGTTGAGAGATTCTTTACGACGGGCGACAAGACCTTGAAAACTGAAGTGAAGGCAAAATAAGATCCAAAACATGCTGATAAAACACTCAAACTGGCTCGCATGTCAACACGGAGGAAGATGGTGTTGACAAGGTAGGATAATGTTTGCTTCGTCAACAAAATAAACCTTTACGGATTTTTGAGAGTTTCTATTGGTCAATTATCTATCACAGAGGGAAACGTTTTAAAAGATCTTTGCTCTTATTGGATATTTAGTTAACACGAAAGAGAAAGGTGTACTATTGTGATTGGTCTATTTTGAAACGTTGCTCTGAATGCATTGACCATTCATTTGTGTTATCTAAGCGCTGATTGGTCATCAAATTGTTACCTAAAATAGAAACCTTAAAATATTCTTACACTTGAGTGGTTAAGTATTGGAAACGCAAAAATAAATATTCCAGTGATTGGTTTAAAAAAAAAAACACTAAGCCTTATGGTGATTGGTCAGTCAGAAGCCTAATGGTAATTGATCATATTGACACAAAAAGAGAAGGAAATTTATAAGGTGAGTAACTGTATCTTTCTCAATAATAATGAATAATACTAATAATAAAACGACGTTGCAAAACTAAACCCAAACTAAATCATTTAAATAAAGTGAAAGTCTGAAATGAAAGTCACGCTTCAATAACTCATCTCTCACCAACATTTTCCGTCTGTTGGGCCAATAAATGAAACTAAAAAGGGGAACACACGCAGTCGGGGAACCTAATAATGGAGTCGGGACAAAGCCGTATTGTGAACTTTCTTTTTTACCACATGAACAAAAGTGATGATTTCAGCCACACATCAACGCCCACGGTAATGTTCCCCTCCCGTGTCAAAGTATTTTTACGATAGCTGCTTATTTTTATATTCTAAAGGTTAATGAACTCTCTCACCTGGGGAAGGAAGGTGAGTGAGGAAGGAAGGTGGGTGGAAGTGTGTGTGTGTGTGTGTGTGTGTTCGAGCCACGCCCATAGAACCATGACCGAGATGACCACGAGCCCACGACATAGAAAAACCAAAACAACTCAGAACCTTTGCCAGGTCAGTGCAACATGCAGTGTGGGTCGTAGGTAATCTCCTGAGCAAAACAAAATGATCTTTTAGGTAAGGGTGACCACTGTAGTACGTGACACGCTATAGGTAGGTGGCCGTAAGTCTATGAGGTAGAAGAGGAAAGAAAAGATGATGGAAGAGGAATGAAAAAAGAATTAACAGGAAAAGAGAATACGTAAGAGGTGGAGGAGTTACGGGTCGTTTCTGCTAGGCAAACGCCATACACAGGTAGTCGTTGTGGCTAGTTTAACGCTACATAACCGTGGTCGTTATAGGGAGGCAGTCGCTGCAGGCCGTATTGTCGTGTCAACTACCCCCGTAACTACTGTCAAAGATGAGTCTTGGTAAATACACTTTTTATGATTTTTTTTAGAGACCAAACATGTTTTTCAGGACACCGGATAAGAGTAAGTAACAAATAAAACTATTGACACAGTATCTACCTGAATAAGGAAACTATTAGAGAATATAAGTACGAATTTCCTCTCCACAGTATTTTCCCAGTCAATTGAAGAAAAAAAATTCTCGACATTGAACACCTTACTAAGTCCTCTAGTCAATATTATTATCATCCAATTGTTTAGTCTTTTGTCGGATTATTCTTGGTAGCACATTACAAATACCTTTTTATTTTAAGACTACAGTAATAATTTTATTTTACCTGTTACGTTTCGCAAGAGAAGCTCGTGGACTCGACACTCACCTGAAAAAAAAAAGATCAAATATCAACTGATTATTAAGAGGAAATGAAACGTGTTAAATCAATTTTGAATAAAGGCTGGAAAATCAAGTGACATTCCTAATAGGTGACACCTGTAAACACGAGACTTCAGCTTATGACACATCCCACACTTCAGCTTATGACACATCCCACACTTCACCTTACGACACATACCTCATATTCCACCTTATGTAACCCCTCACAATATCGCCTTACACCCAGACCATCATCTCACACCATAACACCGACATCAACAGAATTATTGTCCTCCATCTGCCGTGGACAGCAGCGTGAGGCAAACGTCCCAGGAATGTCTACACCGCCATGGTGAGGACAATACACCCCTCGATGGTGTATACTGAATGAATACAAGTTCTCTCTCCCTCACCCATTCTTTCTTCTTTTTTCTCTATGTCTCTTTCCGTTGTGTTTGGAATGGGGTTTTCTCTCTCAGATAAAATACATAATCACGAAACACAGAAAACCTACACACATAAATCACAAACAGAATATCTACACACACACACACACACACACACACACACACACACACACACACACACACACACACACACACACACACACACACACACACACACACACTACCACTACTCCGGCTCAGCCCTTATTCACCTGGCTAATGCACTTTTCACAACACTAAAATCATCCCAAAACTTTACTTAGATGAGGTTGAATCATAGTTTATAATTTGGCATCACTGTATAATTTCAGTTAAATGTGGTCTTTAAGATTTAATTGACTGGTCTTAAGACACCGGTAATATTAAGAGCGAGACACTAAAATCCCCTCCATGGCCGCTCTCCATTAGGCGTGATATAGTAACACTGGAGTGGTGGTGATGTCCTCAATACTCCATTCTTAACACGGATACACACGACTAACAATAACAATAACATGAGTAGTAAAAGTATTAAACCAATCTTTTCCATAATCAAAATATCACAATGGGCGGGTGTAAATATACTGTAATGTACAGTATATGTGTTACAGGCAGTCTGTCAGATACCTGTGAAAATGTTGTGAGTCATGTTGTGTGTGTTAGGTTAGATTACGCTACTAATCTATCATATCCTAACCTAACCTGTACACATGAATCTGCATATTTTCACAGGTTCTCATACAGTGTGTGTGTGTGTGTGTGTGTGTGTGTGTGTGTGTGTGTGTGTGTGTGTGTGTGTGTGTGTGTGTGTGTGTGTGTGTGTGTATGTGTGTGTATGTAGTATATACACATACATATACATACATCTTTCCATTATACAAACCATAATACTTATCCAGTATACATAAGAGTCAGCATCAGGTAAACTTGATGAACTCACAAGGCAAGACCCAAGAACACACACATTAAATTTTGGACAAGACTGGACCAAGGTCAGAGTCACAGGTGCCGGTGAAGAAATAGCACCGTTGTGAACCCTATTTGGGTGATCTATTCGAGATGTAGATCTACCTATTAAGTTACCCATCACAAACACCACCATTTTGGAAGCTTCTACACCAAATTGTAACAAACCCACTAAGAAACGTTGCATGAAATTGCGACATGCTTCATTTGCATTTCTGCATTACCAGTTACAACCACTACTTGATCATAACACAACTCCGGGTTATGATGAAGGACTAACTAGTTAAAGCCTCACTCCCGCCACCCAGTACCCCCAGACTCAAATCCTCACCGAGGGCGGAAGTTGGTACAGTTAATATCTTGGGTGAGCTTCTAAAAGTATCCCGCAGTCTTTTCAAACATCCGGACGAGACGTGGGCGACATACAGATCCTCTCATCCGGTTAGTTATCAAAGGTGAGTCTTGAGGCAAGTGGGATGTCTGAAGTACGTCCGCCTTGACAAGTCAATGAGCCTCCAAGGGCATGCAATGGCTGGTGTCATGCTCTCGGTTGTAAGACAAAGGATACACTTTACTGGGCATAAAACCTTCACAGGTTCGTAGTGGCAATAAAAATAGTAACAGTCCGCGAGTTGTTAATACGTAAGAGTAAATACCATACGAGAGAAGCTGTTACTGTAGATAAGTGTAGTCACCCCTGAAGGTTGTCTCTGGTCATCGTTTTCTTTAACTCCAGAAAATTATCATTAAAAAACCGTCACGATGGCAACAATTATGTTTCTAAAATGGACCTTTTCACAAATTAAAAAAAAATCTACCAAGTTTGGTGTAAATACGCACACACATTGTAAAGTTATTGTGGAGACGCACAGACAGACGGGAGGACCAAAAAACAATACCTTTTCCCCTCCCCTCCCGGACAGGATACCACTAATCCCAACCACCACTGACAATAGTAGTGATAACAAAATAACAAAACATAATAATAATAATAATATAATAATAATAATAATAATAATAATAATAATAATAATGATAATAGTCATAATAAATTAAAACTCGTAATAAGACCAGCACCAATAACTAGTCCACAGCAAGGCCTCAGGTCAGCAGGTCTGGCAATCAAAATGACAAATAGAAGAGAAAAATCTATCCTAACACTCGCAGGTTAATTGGAAACGTTACCTTGGGACACGACTCCTATGGCGGCTGGGGAAGAAGATCAAGTTGCCTTTGGCCTTCGTAGTCTACTCTAGTTGATGATGTACAAGGCGAGCGTTCTTTCCTTTCTGTGTGTGTGTGTGTGTGTGTGTGTGTGTGTGTGTGTGTGTGTGTGTGTGCGGAACTCGGCCCCTGAAGTATGACGTGTACGCCTCTCTCCACACTGAAGACCCGCCACCTACTGCGCCTTGGCACCTCCATGCAAGGAACACTAAGCTATATCCTCCAGCTTCTAAAATGACAAGCTATTAATTACCTAACAGATTAATCGACAAGCTGAAAGACATTCTCCGTTATGCCCCGGAGCGTCTGGTGGAGCGTGTGGGAGAGCATCGAGAAAAAAAGGCGCTGTTGTCTTCTCTCCCAGTAACTCACTTTAACATGGCCACGTCAAACGCTAAGTGCGGACGCTCACCTGCCACTAACCGACTTATCAGAAGCTCCTAACTCCCAGCTGTGTTTTACGTCGCAGATAAACAATGATAAAGTATCCTGAACAAGAGAAGAAACCCGAGGAAGGTGCTGCGATATTCCTCATGGGAAATAACAGGGAAGGATATTCAACCGATAAAAAGATCTTGAAAACAAAATCGATGTCTAACGAACTAAATTTAATCACCTTGAACACCAGCGCTACCAAGAGTGACCCACTTGTTGAGATCGTTGTTGTTTATAGAGGCCCTCACTCTCACTGACTTCATCATCCAGGGTAAAGGAACAAAATGTGATGCCAGCAAAGTCTTCCCTTACCTGAACGACCAGCACTGTGAACAAGTCTTACCAGCAAACACTACTATATCGTCCTGGTGGCGAACATGAAAGACTCGTACTGGTGACAAGAAAAATAACAATAAAAACCCCAAGCATTCACTCATGACACAGAACACCTGATGTCTTACCACGACCACTGGGCAGGAGGTTCGCTGTTACGTCCTGCAAACACCTCAACGATGATACTTTATGACCTAAAAGCGGGTAACGTTCTCATGAATGGATATACCGCTCGCCTTCACAGTCCTAAGCGTACAGTAGCTGGTATTTGACATTGCAGTTGGGGGAGTATAGGCAGTCGGGTGCAGTGCCGGACAAGCTACTTCCTTGTGTATCGAAAAATATTTATCTATAGTGTATTGTACTGAATCTATACTTTAATTAACTTACCTAACCTAAAGGCTGCAGGGAGGGGGGTCACTTGAAGGTAATCCAATCCAATACAAATTCACTCAGACAATGTTCGTGGCACTTGGGACATATTTTAGATCCTTGAACAATATGGCTCACAAAACTGACTTCTTTGCGTGTTGAGTAACCCTAGAAGACTGAACAAAAGTGAACATAAAATACCGTACCCAATTACCGACTCCCCCTAGAGGCAAGGTCAACAACTAAGAGACTTGATAATTTGACAGTCCATTCACAGGGTATTTTGTTCATTTACAAGTTGCATTTAAGTAATTTCTCCCAATTCACGAGTTTTACGACCACGATGACTTTCCAACACACCTGCCAGGATCTTCTCTACAACCTGTTATATCATCCTGGCTCAACTTGCTCATATCCTGTGAGCCTCTCAGTATTGTGGGAGCCTCAAGACTGTAATGCTGTACTAATCCGTTTCCAGCTGATGCTAATGAGGCGCGCAAAACAGTGAGGAACTTCTTGACTATGAAGTAAGACAGACTGGGAGGGGTTGAGTGAAGGTCCTTTATTAAGTCTGGACAAACTTCCTAAATGGCGGCACCGACGTCTAAGTCATACGAGTGGGGGGGGAACACTGATAAATGTTTAAGTCCCTCACAACACCAATTAGGACTTGGACACCGCTGCCAGCACTACGCTCTACCGTTTTCATTTCCCTAACTGTAAAGTATAGTATCCATTCCTATCTAGGTGGAATATAGGCTGCATCAGGAGCGAACTATCGATTTTTGGAACGGGAGTTGAGTGCTGTACCCGTTTATCCACCGCACACATACACAGTTAATAACATTATTTCACGTAGTTAACTCGCCCACTACAATAATTACAAGACACAGCGAGAGAAACATGAAAGAGTTAACTAAACACAACATTAACGAGCGTTGAGAGATTAGCTGTACTGTAGTCTGACAGATGGAGAAGGGGAAAGAATATGAAATACGGAGGAGGAAAAATGAGGAGAATTATGAAATCAAGAAGAGATCAAATTTGGAGAAACGAAGAAAATTAACAAGAAAACGAGAGAGACCAAAATATGAAGCTAGAGAATAAAAAGAAGAGAAAAAGAGGATTAAAGAGGGTAATTGGCGACTGAGGGAAGGGGGAACTATCGGGCCTTCCTCCTCGCGATCATTAAGGTAAATCTTTATGCTTGCTTGAGTGGATAATTGGCCACTGAAGGAAGGGGGGGGCTGTT